TCTTGGCTCCAAGATCATTTTTTGAATTCGTAATGCATATGTGTCATCTCTAACCAGCAAGTTTCTGTAAGGATCACCTGTTTACCTTCCTTCATGTTTAAATCATACATCTGACTGCTGGCTGACAGAAGCCTCCCCGAACATTCAGCCTCTGTTCCTTCAGCAACCAGCAGTCTCCTTGTTCCACCATCATTCTTGAGCCTCAACTTCAAGAAGCATCTTTAGCTATTTCATTTCAATTTGTAAAGGATTAGAGAAGAAAAATACTGAATAATTCTTGTATCTTTATTGAAATAAAAGTCTCGATATGTATACATGTATGTGGATTCATTATGGTAACCAACATAAATTACCTTAATTATTTTCTTTCTAATTACGCTTATGTATTTGGAAAGATAATCATACTATTATGTATAGGGAATATTTTATAATATTTTAACACTTCTCCTCAAGTTGGGGTATAGATATTAATCATGCCCAATTTGTTTTGAAAATACTCAATCCGTATTCCATTCAAAGATTTTGTGAATACATGACCAAGTTGTTCTCATTTTTTCACATAACCAGTAAATATGAAGTTTTTCTGAATTTTCTCTCGAATGAAATGATAATCAACTTCGATATGTTTGGTTCTCTTATAATATATATGATTTGAGGCAATGTGAAGGGTGACTTGATTATCGTATCAGAATTTTACAGGAGATGCGGGCTTCAAACCCACTTCATCTAACAGATGATGTATCCATAAGGTTTCGTATATGGATTGGGAGATAACTCTATATTCGGACTCTGTGTTTGAGTGAGATACAACTATTTGTTTCTTACTTTTCTATTATACGAGATTCTCACAAATAAAAACACAATAGCTTATAGTAGACCTCCTATCAATCTTAGATTCAGCCCAATCAGTATCTATAAAACATTTAATGTGAGTATGTTAATGATTTCTAAACACTATGCCAAGTCCCATGACACCTTTTAAGTGACACAAAATCTATTTTAAAGTCTCATAATATTTGACTATAAGTGTTGATATAAACTGGTTAATAATACTGACAGGGTATACAATATTTGGACGAGTCATAATGAGTTAATTTAATTTCCCAACTAATCGCCTGTATTTCTCTAAATCATTAAGGGGATCATCATAATCTTTTGTAAGATATACACTTGGTACCATTGGTGTATTGCATGACTTAGCTCCCAACTTTCGTATTTCTTCAAGTAGATCAAGTACATATTTTTTCTGAGATAACAGAATCTCTTCATTTTTTTTTCTCACTTCAACTCCCAAAAAGTACTTTATCTATTCCAAGTTTTTGGTATTAAACTTGGTGTGCAAGAATGACTTGAGAGAAGATATTTCTGCACGGTCATTTCCTATAATCACAATATCATCAACATAAAAAATAAGAAGTATAATACCAGCTTTTGATTGTCTATAAAAGATTGAATGATCGCACTTACTCTTCTTCAATCCGAACTCACATACTACCTCACTAAATTTGCCAAATCACGCACGGAAACTCTGCTTTAGACAATATAAAGATTTTTTCAAATGATAGATTTTCTCGTACTTCCCATAACAATAAACCCAGGTAGTTGCTTCATATACTCTTCTTTTATGACTATGAAAAAATGCATTTTTAACGTTTATCTAGTGTAAGGGCCAATCTCGGGAGGCTGCAATAGATATGAATAAACGGATAGAGGTAAGTTTGGCCACTGGAGATAATGTATCAGAATAGTACACTCCATAAGTTTGAGCATAGATTTTTGCTATTAGTCAAGCTTTAAGTTTCGCCACAGAGCTATCTGCATCCACTTTGACTGCAAATACCCATTTGCACCCTACATTATTTTTTCCTTTGAGTAAATCTAATAGATCCCAGGTATGATTATCATCAAGAGTATTTTCTCCTCAAGCATAAGCATTACGCCAATCAGGATGATTCAGAGCCTCCTTAATTGTCTTGAGTATAAAAGTTGAATATATAAAAACAACGAAAACATTAGACGAAGGAGACGTTTACCTTTACAAAAATCAATGGATAGATCAAGATCCTGTGAGGCAGAATCAGATGACGACAAATGTGGTGGATGACATGTATCATTAGTTTGTTATCTTCTGGAATAAACATGAACAATCGGTAGTAGTACTTGGATCAGAGACACGCGAGCACTATTATCAACAAGCTCAAGTAGAGCTGGACGCACATCATTTAAAGGAATATTTTTATCTGTTTGCTCAGTAAAGGCACCTACTGTGAAATTATAAATGAACCACTCGTCGTCTGCCTCATAACTTGTAGACTTGGATGATGAGGAAAAAAACGATATATTTTTTTTAAAAAAACACATAAGTTGATACTAAATATTTATTGAGATTTTGAGAGTAGTACTTGTATCCTTTGTGGAGGTGAGAATATCTCAAAAATACACACATCAAGACTTTTAGGTCTAGTTTTGTCACACTAGTTCGCACATCTTGAACATAAGAGGTGTTACCAAATATTTTATATTGCACCAAAAATAAGATTTGTTTAGAAGAAGAAAATTATAAGGAACATTCTCATCAAACACTATAGATGACATATAATTAATTAAGAAATAAGTTGTGGAAACGACATTTGCCCAGAATTGCTTGGGGACTTGTGTTTGAAATAAGAGGGCTCAAGTTGCCTCAAGTAAATGCCTGTTTTTTCTCTCAGCGATCCTATTTTGAAATGGTGTATTAACACATTAGGATTGGTGAATGATCCCATGTTGAGTCATATAGTTCTGAAATGAATCTGACATATATTCCTTAACATTATCACTCCTCAATACGTGCACAAAAATTTTGAATTGTGTCTTGATTTCAATACAAAAAGTACAAAAGTGAGAAAATACTTACGAACGATTATTTATAAAATATATTCAAGTCATTCTAGAATAATTATCCACAAAAGGTAACAAAATACTTAAAACCAGTTTCGGACGGAACAGGACATGAGCCCCAAACATCAAAATGATAAAACTCAAAAGTAGATTTTGCTCGTTTATGATTCTTGAAGCTGATGGACTACGTGATGTTTTGCAAACTGACATGACTCACAATCCAGTGGGGTTACATCATGGAATTGAGGACGTAACTTCTTAAACACAGATAGAAGGATGTTCCAATTGATAATGTGCTTTAAATAGAGAGATAACACTAGAACAGTAACTGATCGAGGTACCTAAGTATCAAGAATGTAAGGATCATCTCACATATTTTGTTTACCAATAATCTGTTTCGTCATAAGATCTTGAATAACATAGTGATTAGAAAAAAATGTAATGCAACAATTCAAATCTTTAGTGAGTTTACTCACAGAAATCAGATTGAATGCAAGTTTAGGTAAACTTAATGCAAATGATAAAATAATAGATGACGTTGGTTTTGTGGTCCCCGAATTCACAATATTATAGGTCAACCCATCAGTAACAGTTATAGGAAAATGTGGTTTGTATGGTCAAAACTTAAAAAAAATATTAGGATTATCTGTTATGTAATCTGTAATATCAGAATTAATCACCTATCTTTTTGAGGAGAAGATAAGATATTTTTTTTCTAATTTAGCAAGAGCATAAAATTGATTCAAAAATTTCTAATACTGAGTGAATTTAGTATACTCGTCAGCTTAAATCATAACAGTTTTATTAAAAGATGAGTTAGCAGTAGTAGCAACAATATTAGCGGTCTGTGTCATCCAATTGAGATTCTATAATTTTTTATAGTATTGCTTTATATGTCATTTTTCACAGTAGTAGTAACAGATAATATTATTATACATTTCAATATAGTAATTACAAAAATATACTACTCAAAATATTCAAAACACAACAATTAGAAATATTCGGAAAACACTGCAAATAAACTAGAAATTCTGACTTTTCACGCACGGAAACTCAAGAGAACCGCACTGCCACCACCAAAGCTCACGCGTCGTCACACGCGCTGCCGCAGGAGTTCATGCGTCGTAGCGGGAAAGTCATGCGCCGCCAGCGGAAATCACCAAAATGCTTCCTTTCAGCCGAAAATCGCCACAGAACCCACCGGACAATTGAAATCCAGGAGGGGCTTGCAAAAACACCTCAAATTGCACTGGAAAACTCTAGAAAACTTGCTGCCGTGCGGTCTGCTCTGCTGCGACTTTTCTCCACTCCGACCTTCTGGTTTCTTGCTCAGAACAGGCCGACCGAGCGTCTCTTCATGCCCTGCCCTCATGCCAAACTTGACCTGCACTTGAACCAGTCTTCTCCAGTTCATCCGACGCGTGAGGACTAAAAATCGCTGGAAAATGACTTCCTCCACCTCTTCTGCGTGCACCACCATGCCGGCTGCGATCTGAACTGGCCGGAGAACGGTGGTCGACTTCCTCCAGCGCTGGAAATGGATTGTTCAACGCTTATTTAGTTTAACCCTTAAAAATGCTAATCCTAACTCTAACTCTAATACTATGTAAAAGGTTAGCGAATAAAAATACTGAATAATTTTTGTATTTTTATTGAAATAAAAGTCGGGATATATATACATGTAGACGGATTTATATATGCTAATCAACATAAATTACTCTAACTATTTTCTTCCTAATTACGTTTACATATTCGGAAAGATAATTATATTATTATGTATAGGGAATATTCTATTATATTCTAACACAATTAAACATAAAGAACTTAATCCTCACTCTTGTGGGATCTAATCCAATAATCATGGACCTTGATCCAGAAGAATCCGTAAAGGGATATGAAGAACCACCCAGTGTCCAAGATAAAGTGATTAGACAATGACCTCTTCATAGTGTCCAAGACAATGAGATAATAAGATAACAAGACAGACAGAATCCTAGGATAGAGGATTTTTTTACTCAAGAACACTTTCACGTTCCAGAAACTTAGGGCTGAATTTCTTATTCTTTGACTATTGTTTTTATGTTAAGAATGACGCTTATATAAATCTTTATCTGATGCAGGGACCCTTACTTGATTTAGGGAGAAATCCTATGTTATTTCCATGTGCATGGATTTCTAGGCAAGGGATTTTGACTCCTTGGACTCGTAACAGGTCATTGGTCCTGCAGCTCCTAACATGTTTAATATGCATATCCCGTACACAATTGATCTGCAACTCCAGTTATAAAATTTTACCACCATAATTATCTGGGATGGTTTTGGCCCAGATAATACAGTCATGCATTAAACTTAAATAGGTGCATACTTTTGTAAGTTGCTGGCTGAATATGGGAGGCCGAATCGTGTTACAAAAAGTGGTTGTTCTTGATGCATGTGTGTTTAAATGTGTCTGCATGTGTGTATGCATGCAAGTGTCTGCAGTTGTGCATGTGTGCTTGTGTATCTTGTGTTTGTGCATCCATCTAGAGTTATTTTTACAGTGTATATGTAGACATTTGATGGTCTATATATATCATATGTCAGAATATTGATTGCGTATTGTTCCTTGTTTCTTCTTTAGGCAGCCCATACTTGATGGTGATAACTGGTGGCGAGGTCATGCAGCAGCCTTTTTAAATTTTGTTAATTTACCACCGGATGTTCTTCGAAGAGGTCGTGTTTGCCAGGTGAGTTTTCTAATGGCCACAATTACTTAGATGGTACAGCAGAAAATAACCTGGATGTTTCTTAGGGTTGTTTGATGCTTCACAACTTCATGTTCCCCGTGAGAGAGTGGAAGCACCGTTTATAGGATCAATAATATGGATAACATTTTGATATTAATAATTTTCATCCTCTGAATTTAAATTTGTTCCATTTTTGTCTGTTACCTTTGAGACATTATTTCTCTTTCTGTCTTAGGAAAAATGTGAGGCTGCATACTTTGTTGTTGTTTTACATCAACTTAGGTGTGTGGTGATTGCCGTCCGGGGAACAGAGACCCCTGAAGACCTCATAACTGATGGTTTAGGCAAGGCATGTCCTCTTTCTGCAGCAGATTTGGATGGGTTAATAAAGTATCTTCCTCTCTCTATTATGTTTGTGATATACATTTACATCTAAATGGATAAATGAGCATATGTAAAATAAATTCTGTATGTGAAACCAAATATTCATACATGTGCAACATACATAAGTTCAATAAATTTTCTTTCTTTTCTTTATTTTTTTCGGGGGTCACTGCCTGTGTATAAATAAAACCAAGAAACAGAACCTTCAAGGTCCACAGCCTCTCCTTCATTTTTGTGCTTGACCTGTAATCCAAACTTGAAGCACACCCATCTAAAATTCTCTGATCCAATTAGAAAAAAGTTTCCATCTGTCAAAGCTCCTTTATTGTGCTACCAAGGAGTTGTATCTGTGTCCCAGAACTGCTAGACAAGAGCTCCACAAACTGCAAATGACACTCCTTTTTGCTAGATTATATAGAGTGAGAATTTTATTCCGATCGGCTTCCAATACAAACTAAATATGACTTAGGTAGCTGTACTCTTCCAGAAAGCTTTACAAGGGAAGAAATTTATACCCTAGCAAGAGAAGAGGACACACGAGAACTGTGGTATCCATTAACCTCAAACTGCTCTTTGGTATCTGCTGTCCAAAACAAATGATGTATGTAGGACAAGTTAGGGGTTGAGCCTACTAAGAAATTGGGAAAAATTTAGATATCACATCTAGGGTTCTTAGATATCACAATTAAGGGTTGATTAAGTCATATAAATCAATTATGAGAAATTCTCAAAAATATTATTGAATACTTGAATGATTAATAAGTGAATTTATGAATTATTTATAATAATCTTCTCTTGGCTAGAGTTAGACTACAAAGAGTAATCTAATAGAATTAAGAATACTAATTTTAATACAAATAGAAAATAATACTAAAAAAATAAAATTTCTAAGTCTAATAAGACTCTTAAACAAATGAACTAAAAATGCTACATAATAAATAGAATCCTATCATGACTATGTGCCATCATTTCTCCCCAGGAGGAAAAAAGCTCGGCTCTGTTGAGTTGAAATCATAAAATATGGCATGCATGACAGGGTTTAGCCTCTTGAGGTGAACTTCTGTAATCCAAGTGCAATCAATTTAATGGAGTTGTTCTTTTTGATCAGCAGTTGCAAACTTAGCCGTCTTCTTGTCTTTGAAGTTTCTAATATCTTTTGTGATCATATGTTCCAAGAGAATGTTTCTTTTTTCCATGGAAAAGAAGTATGCATTTTTCCTTCCATTATGGTGTACATTGCGATCAGATAGCCAACGGGGAGCAAGATCATATAAGATGACATCTTTATACTTACCATATTGAAAGAGACAAGACATTTTTGCAGTCTTCTTGTCTTTGAAGTTAGTGGGAAGCCGACACTATATTCATGCAACTCCCGTCGTCGATGACAAACTTTTTGGCTTTTAGTCCACAAATGACAAATGTTTGGAATATAGTAGTACAACGCCAATCTTATTCCTTAACTTTAGGTTCTGCAAGGATACGCCTGACTATAGACACAAAGGAAGCATCCACTCGACAGTTGTCATCAGCTAAGTCATGATCGTCAAGGGAAACGTTATCATCCCTATCTGTTGTATTATCTTCTTCTTTCTCTTCCGCTGTTCCAATATGCAAGTTATTTTTTTGAAGGCATTGATAACCTATATGGCCTAGCCTCCCACACTTGAAGCAAACCATTCTTTTGCCTCTTGTATTGGGACCTAATTTTTTCTGAGTTGAAGTTCGTTATGCAGAACTTGCTCACTCATCACAATGTGTTCCACAGTTCCTCCTGGGTGGTTTCAAGTTTCCTCGAAGTTGAATACTTAAACTAATCTTCAATATCCAAGGCAACTTGATTAGTTTGTGCTATAGTTTGTGCTCTCTCTTTTAATATCAACTCTTAATCCTGCCTTGAACCGAGATGCTGATTGACTATCATTGTCGACTAAATGACTCTGAATTTTTAGTTCTTCTAAATTTTTGTGTATGCTCAATTACCAACATGTTGCCTTGTACTAAAATATAAACTTGATCACGAAGTTTGTCAAAGTAGTTGAGAGGTAGACACTTTTCATCAAGAATAGTTTTCATCTCATCCTATGTTTTAGTTGTTTGTTGTCTCCTTGTTATATTTTCATTAATTGTATACAACCATATTTTTGCAAGTCCAACCAACTACATCTTAGCAAATGGAACTCTTTGTGCATCTGACATTTCATACCAGTTGAAGTATTCTTCAATTGGATTAAGCCAATCAAGAAAGAAACCAGGATCCCTTTTTCTACTAAATCAGGGGCGTCGACCTTTATCTTTTTGGTAATCTCTGCAGCATTATCTTCAACATGTCTTTTAGCAGGATGGACTGCTTGAGCAACATGCAAATTTTGAATTGGTGGACCTGCTTGTGTTGTGCTTATGTGTCTCTGTTCTTCGAGGATTGTTTCGATTGAGTTTTGCATCAATTCCAATTTAGTATTAGTGGTTGTCTCAAGTTCTCAATTGTGGCATTTAATTCAGCATTGGTCACCATTATTGAAGTTGAATTCTTCTTAAAAAAGTTTCAACCATCAAAACAAAACAACAGGCTCAAGATTTACTCGCGGCTGGCCTTGTATGAGCTTTATGCGTCGGCTTCCGGTCACCGCACAGTGGTGACCGTTTGGCAGGCGGCTCAAACAGAGGTGCTGATCCCAAATTGGGGGCTGGAGTAGAAAGTTTCATGGCGGGGCTTCAGGTGTAGGCTGATTGGGCCTGCTAGAGTGGGTGGTGATGATGTCGACCACCTCCGGCAGGTGATTGGTGAATGGTGTTGGTGATTGTTTAAGGGTTTTTTGATTTGTTTTCAGATAGGTTTGGGACTGTTTGAGTTTAGAGTTTTTGAGAATCTGGGTGTAGAATACTTTTAGCTCAAATACCAAAATGATATAGGACATATTAGGTCAATTTGTCTAATAAGAAATTAGGAAAGATCTAGATATCACATCTAAGGTTCTTAGACATTATACCTAAAGATTGATTGAATCAAACAATCAATTACGAGAAATTCTCAAAAGTATTATTAAATATTTGAATGATCAATGTGTGAAATAACAAACTATTTACAACAATATTTTCCTAACTAGAATTTAACTAGGAAATAATAATTTAATAGAATTAAGAATATTAATTCTAATACAAATAGAAAACAATACTAACAAAAAATAAACTCTTTAACTCTAATAAGTCTCTTAAATAATAAACTGAAAATACTCCAACGATAAATAAAATTCTACTATGGTTATGTGCGATCAACAAACTTATAACAATTACTAACAAAAGCATCCTTATCAAATGTTGGATTGAACAAAATAGAAGGTTTTTCTTTGAAGAGAATCACCTATAGTTAACTTGAAAAATGATCCTTGAGAGCTGAATTACTGCCTCCCTCCTCTAATGCTCTTCCAAATCCCAGTTTCAAGAGACAAGTTAGTTTGAAGACCTTTGGGTAAGGACAATCTTTGATTGAATACAAAAAGCACTAATGTGGATATAAATTTTAGACATATACATGATAGTTTTTAACCTTGACACTTTTTTGAGTAGGCATTAACCTTGAGGTATGGCTTTGTTCAACATCTTGCACAGGCACACTTGTTGTACTAATGTGCTTGGATCTTCTCTTATTTTGATTGGTGGTTTTAAAGGTCCACTAAACGCAATGACCTTAGCTTGTAACTCTCTCTTCTTTGTAGAGATAGTCACAATAACCCTAAGATGAAGCATCGCGTGGAATCATCTTTCCCACGTTATGGACATTTGGGTATAGTGGAAGCTGCAAGGGACCTTTTCATGCAAATTGAAGGAAATCATGGAAACAAAGGTAATGGGCCAACTATTTTGACAATATTTTTTCTCCTACTTGATTTCCCTTGGCATGTCAGATTTATTGTTGGTGCTCCTGTTAATATTTTTATTTTTCATTTTGAGAAGAAAACAATAGAAAGGTCAACATTTTTATTTTTCTTTTTAATTTTTTTTTTATGAAAAATGAAATATTATTAGATAGAGGAGAAATTTCCCTTAGCCAACAAGAGGAAAAAAAAAAAGGAGAAAACATAAGTATCAAAATGTTATCTGATAATTCTATAACTTGATTTTATTAAATTACCAGAATTACATATATATTGTTAAAGAAAGGGTAAATTATGTTAAAGAGTATAAGGATAAACCTTTGTTATCAATTATAATCTATTGTTCATTTCCTTCTTCCATTTTAAACAATCTGTATATATAGGGTTGTAATATTTAATCAAATACACAGAAACTAACTCTTTTGCAAACTCTGATCGGTCTTAATTGCAGAAATAAGAAAAACACAAAAAAACCCTAATGGGGCCAGCCTTATTAGCCGGCCACCACCACAGCAGCACCCATCCTTCGTATCTTGGAAAGTAGGCATGCTTCTGCTCCACCTAGACAGCCTTCATAGCCAAAAAACACCCAGCCGCCTTCTGGTTTTGCAAGATTTGTTTTTCGGCCGCCATTACCTGTTTTGGTGCATGGATCTACTCTGTTTTCTTGCAGATTTGCTCTGTTTTTCTCCTTTTTTTTCTGCTCTGTTGAGCTCTGTTTTCTGTGCCCTGCTTGGTCTGTTTCACATCCTGTATTGCTCAGTTTTGTACCAAGATCTACTCTGCTTTCGTTCAGATCTATTTTGTTTTTCATCGTCGTTCTACTCTGTTTCTAACGACCCGTTTTACTCCTTTTCAGCTGCAATTCGTCTGTTTTCAAGCCTTTGTCTAGCCACAAACAATACCTCTAGCCGTTGCCCTCTGCAGCCATGAGCC